AAGGGAAAATTTAGGCTTACGATCAAGAAATATTTCTTAACTGTGAAGTCTATTAGTCTGTGAAATAATCTCCCAGGGGAATAATTGTAGTAATAATACTTAGCACTCATACAGTGCTTTACATTTTCAAAGCACTGTACAAAAATTAGCCAATATAATAATTAAAGACAGTAGCAGAAGCACCATGAGTTGTGTCATTTTAAATGCTGCACTGGTCAATGCACTAGAGAATTTCCTGGAAAAAGCAAACCTGCACTGACTCTGACTGACAGCTAAGATTTCCTTTTTTTCCTTCATACTAGCAACTCCAAATGTCTAAACTTTACCTCCAAGATGTACAATAGACTACCCAACTGTTGTTTAAAAAAGGGAAGGAAAAAAAAAAGGGCAATCTGCAAATAAATATACTTCCAAGAAATGAATTTAATTTTTTTCTCCCTTGAAATTTTAATTGAACAGATTCTCTTATGCTGTTCTGCAAACTCCCAAATTTGAGGACATGTCAACCGATCTCTAGGGAAGAATGTGCTAGTAGAGATCTTTTTCCACATTAGCTTGCATTGATTTGCTTTTCAAAAAAACACTGGATCACGTATTTGAAAGGACTCTTGCTTTTTATTCTGTTCCCAGTCATTAGGTAAATACACATTTATAACATGGATGGTAGAATGCTAAAAACATCCTATACCTACAAGAGCAAATTCAGGAGGTTAAGAAGTGTCATAATTACAACTTCCTGGGCAACCTTGATACAACCCTTTTGTTGCAAATGAATTAGGATACAGCCTTTTGCCTCGGCACTCTTGTCTTTTGAGTGCACAGGTCAAAACTGTTTGGGGGAGGGACAGCCATGCCATAAACAGCTTTGCAGATGCAGCCCCTGCTTCATTTGTTACAGAGGCTGGACATTGTGTACTTAATGAGGCAGAACATTTCAAGAAAGGAAAAGATGACCTCAAGATTAATACAGGTGAATGGTCAATTTTAGGCCCCAACAAAGCCCATTCCAGCCACACCAAGCTTTTCCAAAGTGGTCACGTCGCTTCTGCCAGATTTTTTGTATTATGTATTTCTTATTTTTGCAGTGCTTACACAGGGACTCTAATCTGATGTTCCCGTACCCCCTTGTCTAGAAGTACTAAGTCTTTAGGAGCTAAGCTTTGAACATATGTAATACATAATGTTCTTTAAAAATTATCCTGTCCTAACTGGGTACCTAAAATAAACAGGTATATATACCTGATGTGTGTCTCTGCCTCCACTCATCTCTCTTAACAGAGGGGCAGTTCCCCATTCATTCTCACATGCCAACACAAGGTATTTATTGCTTGTGAAGCCTCAGGAATTAAAGGGATGAGCAACTCAGAAAGCAAGATATGGAGGCTAATAATTCTGTCCGGATAGTTCATTCTTTAAGTGATGTGACTAGTATCTTGGAAGAAAACTTTGGAAGTGACAGGGAAAGAATCTAAATTTTCTAAGGTCCATTCAAGAGTATTAATCGTGAGGCTACCCTGAAATGTAACTGTGAGAATAGCCCTGCTAATGCCTCTAACCTGCTCAGGAAAGACTGAATCTAGACAGATTTCAACAGATAAATTCCTGGCAATCAGTAATAAGTATATGCAAGCAACGATTTCTCCTCTACTTATCTCTAACACCACTGTTCGACAAATTTCAACGTTCCCAAAGACATGGTCACAAAGAACTTTCCAAACAAAGTAACTATTTCAGTTGAGCAAAATGAAATATGAGATTTAAACTTAATAATTTTTCATTTTACAACTAGATTTTTAGTGTTAGTTGATACATGCATAGCTAGAGTCATACATTAGTATATTTGCAAATTACATTAAGTAGGGAGGAGCAAACCTGCAAAGATCCTGCTTAAAAATAAAGCCCAGAATAGATGCGGTATCTCAAGTTTAGCCTTTTTAAGTACCTGAATACATGAATTGAATTTTAGAAGTGCTAACTGTACAGGAATGCCCACTATTAGCCCTTGTAAACAAAGGTGTTGGGAAGCCTTCTGGAGCATATTCATTAATGATGCAAAATCTCAAAGCTCTGTATGGCCTTGGCTGCATCTTTGTGCTTAAAGTTGCTACATATAGCATCAAGTACTAAATATCTGACTGGCAGCCATGAAAAAAAAAAAAAAATCCATGGCAGAAAACAAGGTCTGATTGATTGAACATGTATGATGCACTGTGACTTCTAGAAGCGTGGATGGATAAGGAAGAGCTTCTACTCTGTTGACATTTTTCTTTTTCCATTATCTCAAACATTCTGCAGTAGAAACTGCATACCTGCAATTACAATTACAACTAATTGATCTGCCATTTCCCATGTCATAATTAATGTCATGTTTTAATAGTTATAATCATTCCATAATAATGCTTTTCATTCACCAGCTTCCCACAAAGTATAAAAGTATAGTGCACAAAAGCAATGAACTTTTATGAGGCTCTTTCAAAAACATCCCAAAAGGAACATCTCGGTGTATTACAATGAACTTTTAAAATATGTTTCTATATTCTTATGTGAACTGCAGTAAAATACCATGCAAAAGACTTCTCACTCTGGCATTCCTCCTTCCCTGAACATCCATAGGTGAAAAATGAAATCAATGATTCAGTGACAAATACATTATGTTTCCTAAGGGGTTATTTAATGTACTCTTAGCAAGGATGGAAAATGATGGTTTCTAGAGAACAGATGGTAACAAGACAAAATATCAACAGACCACAGTTGTTGACTGCAATTTATGGAGTGTACAGATGTGTCAACTTAAATGCAGTGATTCTGAGGCCAATAAAAGTACTTCCTGATACCAACAGATTAATTTTTCATGACCACTGGTTACACAGCTATTACATTTTTAAAAACTAATTATTCATCTACAAAAGAAACAACAATTTTGCTTGAACATCATTACTATAAAGTGGAATGTTGTTCTTGCTGGCACAAAAAAAAGGGCACGACAGAACTGGATACAAGTTTGTGCATCTTCCTTTCAGAATATAATATCCTGCTTTTTTCCATAAAGAATATTCCAAAGGAAGACGACTGCTAGCAGCCAACCCAGATTTAAAGTAATAGTATACAATAAGGAGATCCCACTTCCTAGCCAAATATGAAGCATGCTTACAAAAGGGCCTTTTTTCAGCCTTTAATTTAGCAGGATGAATAACGGTGTTTGTGAACGTTGCAAGGGACTGGCAGTGCCTGAAGCTGCAGTCCCCCATTTATTATCCATTGCCACATTAACTATGTAGACAGTCTCTCCCATGCTGCTCTGCAAGACTAAAGATACATGACTGCCAAAGCCACATATCTCAGAACCCTCATCAATGAACAGGTTGAGATCTAGATCTGATCCTTGTAATCTGAACTCATTTTCATCTTGTCTTATATTTCAACTTGGACAAATATTTCACCCTTGGTCTCCTCCCTTTGTAGGCCTAACTCAAATTTACCTAAGGATTGGTTCTCTGCTTGTCAAGAATAAGAAAGAAGAAAGCAGCTCTACTTTCCAAATCCCCCTGTTCTAGCATAGAGATCAACTCTAAAACAAGCACTTTACATTAACGATACCACAAAACACCCCACTAAATAGACAATGTTAAGTTAGCTACAGAAAAGACAATAAAACCCAGTTCTTCACTGTATCAAACTGCAACATAGTTTGTCATGGACTAAACTTGCAAAGGAGACCTCAATTCAGCTTCCATTTAGCCTTTGGGAAAAAAACTGCAAAAGCATCTAGCCAGAGACTGAACCAGCAGGAAAGCGCTGCAGCTACTGCAGCACCCAGAAGAAGAGAGTCAGACTGAAGTCAGACAGGGCCACCCACTCCCCCACCCAAATCAGCATGCACGTGTACAAAAGCAATGTACCCTTCTCCAGAAGCATAGTAAGGACTCACTGAAATCCCTCCCTTTCAACAGTGTGGTATACACAAAACAGGACAGAGGCAGGGACTGAAGAGGAGCTGCAGAAATCACTTACACCAAAACTGAAAAATGTGTTTTGATTGCATTTTCTTGGCACCATACCGATTAACTGTTTACCCCACCTAGCCCACTCCATGCTGTTCTAATCTCAGCTTCTCTCCATACCACCCTTCCAGCTTCCTTCTCCTTGTTACTTGGTACTCATTACTAAACTCCTTTTTTCTTCCCTAATTCTCTCTCTCTTTTCCCAAGTATAATATAAATATTATGCTTAAATCGTGGCAAACATTTACAATGTTATTCCCTTGATTTATGTTTGTATCCGTTCTACCGCTTATCTTTTCTATTTTGACCAGCAGCTATTGAGAGCAGGCTCTGCCACCACCTCCTCTGTTTTGTACTGTCCATAGAGCAATAAGGCTCCATTCCAGTTGCCCTATAAGCACAATCATAATAACCATTATTAATAGCAACAGCGTATTCTCTACATCAGCAACCTGGCATCACAGATTATGTACCTCCACAAAACACAGCAGTATGCACAAACTGAGAAGCTGACACCAATTTGGCTGATTCTTCTCCCTCATTGGTTTTATAGCTGTATAAACCCCACTTCAGCGGAGTTACTCCTGATTTAAAGTAGTGCAAGCAAAAGGAGAAAGAGTCCTCTATTTCTGGCAGACAAATGAAAGAGCTCGTAAAATGGAGCACACAAATTCAGAGGTCAGAGATGAGAGTCAGAACAAGCCCCTCTTAAGCAAAGCTCAATTTTGCACCCGTTATTTTTTCTTCTCCAGCTTCTTTAACCTGTGCACTTTCTGGACAGAGAGTTCTGGAAAATGAAATCCTTTACAGAGCAAGCAACAGTGGCTCAAGTCACATTGTACTATGTAGCAATCTTACTACTTTGTAAGACATAAATTACTTCAGGAGACTTAGAAGCCAAAATAGCAAGTTTCAATTCATACGATCAAAACATCAATAGCGCTGGCTTGGACTCATATATTACTTTACTATGCAGGACTGAAGGAGAGTCTCACCTACCTGAATCATATGCAAAATCTCTAGGTTCCTGTTTAATCATCAGAGGAGGGGGGAAATTTTGACTGGCTGCACTGCCAACCATAGCGTTGTGTTCATAAACTGGATCATGGTACTCCTGCTTAAAACCTTGAGGTGGGAAAGGGATGTTTGGCTCAGACATCTGGCGCTGATATATTGGACGTCCTTCCCTTGGCATTGCAGGCAAAGGTGGGAAAGAATTGCAAGGTTCAGAGAGCTGGCGGCGAAATCTAGGACACAAGTTAGAGAGGTCATGTAAAGGACTTGAGCTACATTCCATTTCCCAAAGATCTTCACAGGTCATGATTAGTGGCTGTATCCCTTTCTCAGCAGCAAACACTTAGCTTACGATCATGCCAAGTGCTCCCATCAGGATCACTTGTATTGTAGAACAGCAACAAGCAAAGAAACAAAAAACCCTACCTATTAATACCAGCTCTAAGACCTGTCCCCACCACCATCCTCTTTGCTTTCAGTATCTTCTCTCAACAGAAGAGCCAAACAGGAAATGCACTAGTTTCAAACCAGTAGAAAGACTGAAACCCCACCATAGTAACACAAAGGAGGCTTAGGTAGAGTTCTCTGTACTTTCACAAGTATTAGCAACATATTGCTACTGTTACATGGAAACCATTCTCACCACAACAAACACAAACATTTTGAATAGAGAGTACTGTCTGCCATAACAACTGGAATCATTCCCGGGTAGAAGTCCACAGTTCTGTCCTCTCTGGGATAGCACTGTGGGAAATCGACCTGCAAGGCTGGCACTGCATTCCAGCTCTAATGGGAAGGGAAAGTAAGCACCCCAGAAAAAGGAGAGGGTGCAAATTCTTGCTAAGAATTTCCCTCCTGCTTTAACTTGTTCCCTTGGTCATTTCTACATGAAGTCATCCATATAAGCCATACTGCCACTCACTACTCCCAAATGCCCTTCAGTAGGCATAAAATTTGAGAATTCAGTTTTAAACTAACTTCATTTACATACAACACTACTCAAGAACCTATGCTTATTGTTTCTTCCATAAAATCTACCTACCTGAACTAAAAGGCCTGAAGTAATTACTTGGACATCAACAGGTTCAGAAGCATAGAGAAGAATACAAGGATGCTATTTTCTCACTGTGCCCTGATGAACTGCACAAAGTCTTCCTGTCATCTCCTGCAGGTTACCACAGTAGCAGTAACCACCACTGTAGTAATATTGTGTCTGCACTAATCCATAGCAGATGCAACGTTCTTGCAACAAACTGCTTACTAGTCCTGTTATCACTCATCACGAGCAAGACACACTTTTATCAAAAAGAAAAAAAAAAGAAACCTGTGCCTTCCTCTGCAAGTTTCTCACTGTCACGCTAAAAAAATCAAGAACTATTCATTCTTCAGCTTGCTGTACTTTGGATCTGAAGCAGCTTTGGTTCACGCAGGCAAAAGCAGACATTCTCCTGGAGAAAACTCGGTGAGTGAAGAAGAATGCAGGGGTTTGATTGCACAGGCAATACAATCCTTGACTATCAACTCATATGTAGTACGTTGTTTCTGAAACAATTTAAACTCCACTAATGTCTGTCATAATACTGCTGTGAACTTGGTCTGACAAATATTTACTGTCACAGCTTAATTACAAATACCGTGGGAGCTACAGAGATAGAAACTATTAAAATGTAGTAGTAGAGACAAAATTAATTTTTTTAATGCTGTTGTAAATATTATATTTTGCAGTAGAAAGAGTACTGCACTGTAACATTGGGTTTTGGCAATTCCACCTACACCTGCAGAAAATAAACTTAGAAACCAAAATGTATTATGAAACAGTTAGGCTGACTGGCACTGCATTCATTTCCCTCTTTTCCTTTTTTCATTAGCCAAAAAAAGAAGCAGAAATTATCATTAAGAACTGTCAAGGAGTGAATCAGAAAATTGCAACTTGAAGTTAAAATAAGAAACAGGCTCACTCACAAAGCCTCAAAGGAAGTTAATAATACTTGTTGTACTGGAAGCTTTGTATGGAATCAAGCCATTTGTTTATACAAGTGGATTTGATTCCTGTTAGTACTTGTTAGGACCACTTATCGTTCATACATTCATGCCCTGTATGAAGATGTATGGGCTCTATGTTCTAGATACTAACGCTATCTTATGCCACCAATGCATGTTCTAAAGAAATATGCCTTGAGTTACAGATTTATATATGAATTCCCATAGGTAGGTCATCTGTTTAAATGACATTTTCTGAATACACTCATTGTAATAGCATATCACCTTGTAAATCGGGAAGATTTGAATTTCACAAAAATATGAAGTACACGTTTGCTTCAAACAACTGGAAGTGAGAAGATTCAAAATAAGTAAGAAAATGGGGAAAAAAATATCTTCCACTACAATTGTACTTTTCTTTAAAAAAGGAGAAAAATGAGATTTTTTTGGCCTGAGTCAGCTATTTTGGACTTCACTAGAACACATGATGTTCTATTACGGAAGGGAAGCATTAGTGCAAAATGCCCTAAAGAACATGAATATCAAAGATGGGGAGGGGGTGGATCATGTAAAGAGCCTACAAAGCTTGTGCAGAGCAAGTGTTATGGGTATAGAAAAATATACTAAGGTGTATGCAAATCTCTATAAATAATCAAATTAGGGCTGACATACAGCTTCAGTACTCTCTTTACAAGTTGCTCTAAACTAAAAGATTCTTTCGTCTGAAAAACCTTATTACTGCCCTCTGCGCAGAAGCTATTTAGCTTCTGGAGATTTCAGTCTCCTGACAACTTGACTTTGGTGTATACACAGACACACATTTATCCACCATCCTGTAATCAAAACCGCTGCCTGGCTTCACTGGGGGCCTGCGTGGTTAGACCACAGTCCACAGAGGGGGAAGAGATGGTGACTATAGTAGCTGAAGGGGTCGATTCAGTGTTTCTTCACCGCCAGAAGGGCTTGTAGAGAGCCTTGGATGATATTTAAAACTATCTCAGCAGAGCACAACACAGCAATATAAACCTTAGCAACCCCCTTCAGAAGTGATCTGCACAAATCCCTGGAGATAATAGCCCTTATTAGAGCAGAGCATGCAAATCGCACTCCCAACAACTGTGATTTTCTTTTCAGGTGCTTCTTAATTTGCTAATGTTTAAGAGCCAAGTTGAGTTTCTGAACATATGTATGTCTTCACATATGACTGAAATTTTAAATGCTCAGAGCAATCACACAACACAGCAGACAAAAACAGGTTCATGCAATAAAGGTTGGGATAAATAGAATTCCACAAACAACCATTTGGTCTCAAAAATCAGGGAAATCCACTGAGCATATCTGTTGCAAAACTGAGCTAAGAAATATAGTCAGCTGTCTGGGGATTTCTAACATATCAAAACAAAACAGGGTCACTTAAGGACAGTTTAAGCTTTAATTCTAGTCTCTAGCTCTTGTGGCTTTTACTCAGACTAATGTTATTTAAGCACAGTTTATGTTGGCATCTTTGTTTGTTTGAAATGCTACATTTCAAAAGGGTTTGGAAAAACGATCCACCCTTCGAAAGAATATTCTGAAGCAGTAACACCATGACCACTTATCTCTTAGATAGGTGGACTGCATAGCAAGAGACCAGATATTTATAGCCAGGATCATGCCTGCTAGTGACTTCATTACCTCGTAGGGCTTACTAGCCTCAAGTGAGCCACAGAATCATAGAACAGCCCAAGTTGGAAGGGACTTTGAAAGACCATCTGGTCCAACTTTTCATGGGAAAGGGAGCCTAGAAGAGATTATCTAGCACCCTGTAATCACCCTCACAAGACAGAAGAAGCAGGTCATTAAAACTGTCACTGCAAATAAGAACTCCTACTGAAGTGCACCAAGCTGGGTGCCAGCCTTTCATAAAACACACATATTTCTGACACTCTGAACCTTGCTGGTTTTCACCTTGGTCCCCCTATCCAAAAAGGAATTGTTGTGGGCAGGAAGCCAGGGCTAGCCTATATGAGATTTGCAGCCGCAACTGAAATACCCTCTGCAGGGGTTTCTCACATGTTTTGTGTTTTACCTGTGGTCCATAGGGAAGCTGTTGTCTTGAATGGACTGCGATGGAGGGAGATGAGTAGGGAAAACCCGGTCAGGTTTAGGAGTCTGAGCTGAGTTTGGGGAGGCATGGTGCAGCGGTGACACAGGAGTGCTGGATGGTGTCGGTGGGTTGGAGGGCCTCATTCCCACTTGTGGCTTCTGATCATAGGCACTATCAGTAAGGCAAGGGGAAAGAAGGTCAGGTTATTTTCTCTCGGGAAAAAAAAAAAAAGTAGCATCTACATCCAGAAAAAAAACCCCAAGTGTCACATTTATAAGCTTTTTATTATAGTTACCTTATTAACCAGTTTGGGGCAGAGGAACTCTCTACTTTACATTGTGAAGAGCACAGAAAAAATCATGTTAGAAGCAAGTGGTTCAACACAGTATTTTCTTCTCTGGGGCACAGAAATATATTTTTAAAGGATTCAGTCTTACAGTGACATTCTAACAGGAGGTATACAAAATACATAAAAGTAGAAGCACCTGGACTAGAGCAGGAAGAGCCAGCAGTGCCTGTCAAGACTTTTTTAGAGCTTGCACAAACCACAGTGAGACAGTAAAACAATACAGCTAGAGGGAAGGGATCTGACACAGAAAAACAATGGAATGTTGGCTTAGCTACCCACACTAGGATGTCAGCAGCCTCTCCTGACAGGTTCCCCCCACCCCCAAAATAAAGTACTGGTCCTACAAATACATAGATGCTATTTTCAAAGGTGTCCCAAATCAGGAAAGGACTTGAGCACACTTTTGATCATCCATCCCTCTTTCTAAACAGGAAAAATGCAGACATTAGGTGGATGGTAAACACGAGCTTGCATACCTTCCTATGTCAGGTCCCCTAGCACCCATCAAATCCATAAGTATATGCATTTGATTTTTGAAATCAAAATCACTCCTCTATGACTGGCAAAGGTGCCAGTCTTCCCCCCCCTTAATATCCAAAAAGTTAAATGTAAATGCTTTAAGTGCTAACAGTTTTGGTAGTACATTAAGGAGAATAAAAACTCACAAGCTAGATGAAAGGTTCTAAAATAGACTGAAATGTCAATAGGAAACCCTTCACTGCTGACACTAAAGGAAGGACTAACACATAAGTGCAAACCAAAAGAAAGTCAATAAAGAATGCAGTTGTATCAAGCCCCTCCACCCCCACAAATAAATAAAGGTTTTATTATCTATCCCTATAAAAGAAGACAACTTGTTTTTGAATAGGTAACAAAGACACAGAGCCTAATGAAATGCTATTTTAAATTGTAATCACCCATGAATACACACATATAACATCTGCAAAACTTGTCATATACCTAATGTGTTGCTCAGGCCTGCCAATCTCTTGCCTGTTACACAGATCTCTCTCTCCTAATGTGTGCAATGCATCTTAAAAGTAATTTCAACACAACTTGCAGAAAACAAGACACTCCTTCCTTCTATTTCACACTTGCACCCTGGGTTTTTAAACTCTGGCTATCTCCACGAAGAAGGAATGGAGAATATGCATTTTGATGAAAAACACTGCTTTAAAATGGTTATGTAAGTGTTTGATACAATTGTAAACAACTCCATCAGTGTTCATCAGCTAAATGCATTATCTCATCAGTCTGTTATCTGCTGAAGAGGTAACTTTTATAAAATCTCTATTATGGTTTTATTACTCTTTCGTCAGTTCTCATTTAAATCAGCAGTTCTCACTGCAAACATGCTCCTGATTGCTTTACCTGACATTGTACAGGCACTTTTCCCCATAACTGAACTTGAAAGGTTGCTCTTGACTGCAAGCCGAGCCAAGTTCTGAACATGGGCTATGGGGTTCCTTCTTGATTTTCACAGGGAGACCATGAAAAGCCACTGTAAAGAGAAAGAAAATGTAATTAAAACCCAAGTACAATATTAACAATGAGCTTTCTCAAGTAAGCTAGACACTGATAATTAAACACATGATTAATTAAACCATTGTAATACTAAAAACAATATAGGAAATAAACATTTCAAATATTTCTTCTGGTGTCAACTGAAAAATAGACACCAGAGATCCTTCGCATTGGCTATTAGCACTTTTATTGTTTAATAGAATGATGGCCATGATCCCATCTCATTAGCAGGAAAATAACAGCCCACTTATATTTGGCTTAACTACTGTAAATGTTGTCAAAGGCAAAATACTTCCCAGGCACCAAATGTTTCTAAGTAATATTAGTGATGTAGCTTTTAGCTATAAATGCAATAGTAGTTCACTTCAAAGAGTGCCACACAAATGACTCCAAAATAAATTTCTCATATATCAGCTTCAAGTATATGATCAGTAATCTTTTTGTCCCACAGAATGCATGAAAATTTGCAGTGAAACTTATGAAACTGGATGATTACATGTGCCTTTAGTTATAAGTAACGTCTGAACAAAATACACAAGAAATGGCTTCAGTAATTTTTCTCAGAAATACACAAGACAAAATCCTGGCCTCACCAAAGTCAATAGTAAATGTGATATAGACATAAATTGAGAAAAAAAAATTAATCATACTTTTTTAAAAGGTAAAAAGAACAGAGGGCGTGTGACAGAAATGCAGCATTAATTAGAAGCACAAGTTGGTCTGGATTAAGAAAAAGTCCAAAGGTAAAGACAAGGTTAACCAGCACATTAGTTTAAGCCAGCCAGCTTTCCTTATTTCACAGCCAACCTTAATCAAAATTAAAGCAGAAGAAAATGCAAAGTTCACCTGACCTAGACAAATCTAAAATAAGTGGCTAGAAGGACAAAGGACTAAAAGACAGGTATTTAGCAGCTTGAAAACACACCCTTAAAGGGTTAAATAAAATGAGGTTGTGAATACATTTTTGAATTCTGAGAAGCCTAGAGTTCAGAGATCAATTTTATCACCAATTTGTGATGCTGTGACCAAAACACCGCAGTTTGAACATCACGCTCCAGCCTGACAGACACTTGCGCCTCCGTGGAAATCCACATACATGCAGCAGTCCCTGTTAGAGAACCTCAGTGCAAAATCAGGACATTATTATATAACATCAAGTAGTATCTTGTCCCTTCCCTTGCACCTGAACTTAGGAAAAACAATTTGTTACACAGTATGTATTTTCTGATACTAATGCACCTGCATACACATGCGTATGTTCAGTGGGGAGGTAAATTAAATGCTGTCTTAAGAAGTGAGCATCAGAACCAATAAACTCTGAGTTTTAAGTATCTGTGAGTAAGATCTGGATTCCAGATCTCACCACAGGTTTTCCCACGGTTGGGCAACATTCAGAGAACTCTTTCACAAACGGGTCCTCTCGTACCCTATTACATGACAGTTTGTACTTTTGCCTTTCAGCTGAGACATCTGCAAGATAGCACTATGTTATTTTGTCACATATTTTCACAAAACTCACAAGAATTGTCTCTAAAACTGCTATCCAGCTATTACATTTGGTGGATAATAGTAAATTATCTGGAAAGATTACAAAGGAAAAGCAGACAGCAAAACACGTACACAAATACATATGCACAGCACAGTAACTCAAGAACAGAGATGAAAAGTGGTGAATGTCACAACAAGGAAAGAACTCTTTCTGAATAAAACTGTCTGAACTTGCCCTAAAATAAAAGACCATATGGACTTCTTGAATAAAGATTCTCAATTTAATAATACAGCAAAATGCAGCCCAGTCAGCTTTCCATTGTAATCGCAAAGCAGGCTGACACCCAGTAGTTTGTTTCGGGTTTTTGCTAGTGAACTTTTACTGCTGACTCTCCTTGCATGTCTTGGTCAGATAATGCACATCGCACATTTAATGCATATGATGGGCCCCACAACTCCAGGACAGTGGCTCCGATGAAAAGGTAGGCAATCTCTTTGACTTGAATCAGAAAATTAAAACACAACTGCAATAAGACTCTTTTTTAAAGCCAGTATCACATATTTGCACAAAGGCCACATGCTGCTCTATTTTTTTTTTTTTTTTAATTTTAAATTTGCTACTTCCTCGGAGTTAATCTGTTATGAAAAATTACTTCCCTTATTTATTTTTAAATAACGGGAGTACAGAGACTCCCACACCACAGCCCTGTGCGGAGAACTGGCTGGGTATTTCATCACAGCGCTGAGAGCCTGAACGTCTGCTAACAGGCAGTTTTCCAGCTCACTGGCACAGGCACAAGTGAAAGCAGCACATTCATTTTGTGCAATTTGCTTTACCTTCCCACATGGAGTTGGTGCATGTAAAAGGCTGTTAAGTACTAAATTATTCCTTATCAAATCACCATCATCTGGAGTCATGATCAACACTAATTAAATTACTTTCACTGAACACGGCTCCAGCCTGCTGCCTCGGCTGTGAGGTACATTTTATTTTGCTTACTGTACAGTCCTAGCAAGGTACAGGGCACAGTGCTAGAAGGCATGTGTGCTGTAGTTTTAATTAAAGTTTACCTCACCTTCCTCCCAGCTTTATAAGCTAGGGTAAAGTGTATCAAATCAAGTAGGTTAACGCCTTCATTTCATTTAGGGAAAGCATTACAGTCCAAAGTGATTTTATATTAGATCTTTATCTTAACCACGGCCAGAAAGATAATGTAGCTGTAAAATTTAAAGCCTTCCTCGGGCAGTCCCCTGACACAGTCACCATGCTAAGCTTTATCTGCAACTCCTTAAGTGTACCCTTTTAGAGGCAGAAAGGAAAAAAGATAGCCTGAGAGAAATACTTAGTGCATTTTTGGGGGGCTTTCTTGAAGGCTACTTGACCTTTCAAAGCACATCTTAAGTGTGGCTGAAGATGACAGACTTATTCCAACAATAAAATTTCAAACATTCAAAACAGTTCTTGTATCATCCCTGAAAACCTCCACCCGCCGCTCTTCATTGTAGCATGACACTTATTTTATAGTGCACCTATTAAAAGAGATTTTAAACACACACCGTTTTGCTAAGTTGGATTTTATGTTTTCAATCCGTTTTCTTTTGAGGAGAGCAAGGTTGCTTATTTATACAATCTAATTTTAGTGCAGCGTACCAAGCTACCAACACATCCAAATTAACAAAATGACATTTCAAACAACCAGCTCCTCACCACTTCTTTCTTCCTCACGGCAAATTCATTTTACTTAACCCCAGAACAGAGTCTCAACCCTATTAAAGTAACGGGCACTCTGCCTTAATAACGATCTTATTAAGAAGTGACCAAGGGCCAAGATTTCATCCCGAGTGATTACTTACAGATAACTACCTCCAAACTTGAAAGGCAAATAATCTTACAACGTGTATTTAGATGGATGGCTTCAACACCTCATCTCAACTACTGTGGAAAGTCAGGCTTATCAGTGTCAGAATGGATTCAATCTGCAGACCCTATCTGGAGCTCCTCCGAAGCCAACATGCAGATATAAGGCGAGCAGGACTGCTACCATCTGTAGCAAAGTGATTGAGGTATAATACATTACTGTATGCATATTCTCTGTGCATAAATATATCTATCCATACCTGCAGAGTAAAAGGGCTTGTACGTTATACATAATGTGCTGTTGTACAGACCTAGATTTTACGCAAAACAATAATAATTTCACCACTAAGTAAACTCGCACAGAACATGCAAAAATACAGGGTGAAACCTGCTACCCCTAATTTTTAAATGCTATTCTCCTTTGCTATCTGTCAACAGGCTAATCCCCAAACATTTTGTTCATAGTAACACCCAGTTTAAGATTCCAAACAAAGAACAATTTTATTAAGAACTCTGAAATTAAAGGAGGAATCAGTTTGTCTCAGAGGAGACCGATATATATACTTTCTAGCCTGAGAAACAGGAAATGTATCACCTCTGTACAGATAGAACTGAATCAATTCTTTTGAGAAAGCCACAGAAATGCACTGCATCAAATATAAAAGCAATGGTTTAAAATATTTTTCAATTCAAGAGATGATTATTCAAGATGAAGAAATGAGGAATATTTCAGGTGAAATTGCAAGTCATTTCTCCTTTGAGCAAAAAGTTATTGTATAATTTTCAAACTTGAGATTCCTGCCCAGAACAAAAAATAAAATCTGATTTTATTTTCTGAAGAAGAATTAATTTAAACATATTTTTAAAAGGCACGAAATATTACTGGTAATTCAATGACACTGGCTAACGGCAAGCAATCTTGACTCCACTGACCAAAGAGACAAAGAAGTATTATTATCAACACTTGTACAGCAAGATCATTTACTATATGGTATAAAATCAACTGACAGCAGCAACCTTGCTTGTGCCAGTGAACCCCAATGTCTCGTAAGTAATAGTACATTCATGTGTATTAAGTTCAAGGACTTTGTGTACCTGCAGAGAAAATGAAGTAACCAGGAATTCACAGTAAATAATACCCTAAACATTTCTGCTGCATGTTTCTAAACTGCTTTTAATATTTATGCTCTCAAAGCACCCCCTAAACCCGAATTAGTGAATAAACTCACTCATTTTTATGATCAATTGAGGCGAAACTGTTAATATGCAATGTAAGTTTAGAGAGATTTCTTGAACACATTTGAATAGGGGGGATTTGATTTTCTTAACAGCAAGATGAAAAGACAGAAGGTGTAAAAATATTTAAGTTACTACCACTACAACTCCAGGTGTCAGACTTACTCAGGTGACCCAAGTTAGTACTTGCTAAAATTTCAAAAGCAAGAAGAGAAGGCCCCTGTACTGATAAAGCCAACACTGTCACACTTTAAATCTGTCTCCCAATACACACAGAAATGCAGCAGGCACTTCAGATACATCAGAGTCTCTCCAAGATTCTTTTCCAGTACATTTACCTCTGCCAAGCCCTCCCCTTCCCCCAACACACAAAAATCCATTACTAAAGGGTCTAA